CGCCCCGCCCCACCCCGCCCCGCCCGGCCGTACGACGGCGCGTCCACGCAACGTCAAACACCCTTCTATAAAGCGTGTCGCCTGCTGCTGCTGCTGCTGCTGCTGGTCGGCTGGTCGGGGCGTCCGGCGGCAGGCGGAGTACGGACTACAAATAGGCAAATGTGGCGGAGCAGAGGGAAGGGGAGTGACAGAAGAGGGCGGTATGGCGGTGTGGGACACCTCCGCGAGGGCGGCGCGGAGACAGCCCCGCCCGGGGGCGACTCGCGGGGCGGGGAGGTGGAGCGGGGAGGTGGAGCGGGGAGGTGGAGCGGGGAGGTGGAGCGGGGAGGTGGAGCGGGGAGATGGAGCGGGGGCGAGGGGATCGTTCAGGTCGAATTCTGGGCTGATTAAAAACTCGAGAATAATTGGACGGGCGCCAGGCCGAGGCTGGCGGGATCATCTCGCTCATCACCCGCTACTCTCCTCGCGATAATCTGCGACCCAGTCTGTCTGTCTGTCTGTCTTTTTGGCCAGCCTCAGTATATAACTACGCGGCAGGTATTACACGAGGTACAATGTTCACACATCGTTCGACATGTCAAGCAGCTATCTCAAAGACGCTACAGACATACAATCGACATCAATATCGGTAAAAAAATGAACGCGCATCTTTTTCTTTAAAAAATATATAAAAAAATAGTGGTAGGGCGACGAATAGCGACACAAGCAGACGGCATGTGTGTGCGTGTCATCCACATCCACTTGACCTGGTCGGGCGACAGCGAATCGGCGCGTATTAAATTCCCATGATCGTTTCGGAGATGAAGCGCGCGATACGGTACAGGCGGCATCACACAATGCACACCTGGGAGCGAACAGAGAGAGAGAGAGACAGAGAAAGAGACGAGGACGTCCAACCAGGCGAGAGCGACAGGGACAGCCTCTGCGGCGGCGCGTCACACAAGCAGAGCGAGGTAAGCGCGGCAAGCGCGGCTCGGCAGGCCCCCTCCCTCCCCTCCTCTTCAGCCCTCCAACCCTTGCACCAATCAGGTTGCGCGTCATCCATTCATATCGCAACCTCCGCCGGCGTGGGGGACTCGGACTCGACTCACCTTGGTCGAGAAGCCGCGGTCGCAGATGGTGCACTTGAAGGGCCGCTCCTTGGTGTGCGAGCGGTAGTGGATCTCCAGGGCCGAGTTGCAGGCGAACGTCTTGAAGCAAATGTTGCACGTCGTGTTGCCCCGCACTGTGAAAAACGAAACAAAAAAACACAAACCGTTAGAGTCGACGTCGGGAGGAACGGCCGGTTAAAATGACGCTGGATTAATTATTAAAAGCAAACAGCCCCGCCAGCCAGGCCGGCAGTTAAACACGCGACGAAACGAAAGATAAAAACCCGACGAGCAGCGAGATGAGTCAGAGCGTCAATTTTAGCTCAATTTTACGAGACGCCGCGCGCGTCCCGCCCTGCCCCGCCCGCCCGCCACCAGCC